TGTTCAGCAAACATATTTGAGCACATTTTGTGTGTCAGGAAAGTGGTAGGTACTTGGGACACGAAGATCAAGAAGCTTACAGATGAGCAGAGACAGTGACAGCCTGGGAAGAGGTCAGTGTCATGGGGTCAGAACAGACACCTGGTGGGGCGAAGGGCCAAGTGGGAGCAATGGGTGTACAGGGATCAGAGAAGGCTTCCTACAACAGGTGGGGCCCCACACGGTCCTGAAGGAGAAGCATGAGGTCACCAGGCAGTGGGAGGCAGCAGACAGAGGAACAGAGTTCCAGGGAGGGAAGCATGTGAGCATAAGGTGGAGCCGTCCCAGCCTGGCTCACGGGGACTCAAGGTGCTGGGTGCTGATAGGCCACGATGTCATTTCCCCCATGTACTCTGATTTCAGAACCTCCCAGAGCCACTGGATGTGAAACATCCTTTGAATGAGCGCTGCTGGGTAGGAGGTGCCAGGGCTGGGCTTGTTTGTCACCCCCAACTAGGGAGCTCGTGGGGAAGTCCTTGGGAAGGGCAGAGCCCTGGAGGGCAGGCCTGTAAGAATGACACACTATTTCCATTTGTGGAAAGATTGTTTCATGCTGTTCCCTTTGGCAGACATGGTTCCATGGTTTCAGGGAGCCCTCCCAGCAGCTCCCAGGGTGTGCAGGACTGTGTATCTCTCGGCCTATGTGTCATTTTCCTTTGTTTTGGAAAAGTGTACTACCCGCGGGCATTGGCCTGCCCTCGTAGATCTGAGAGCACGCAGCATCTGCGGGCCCACCTGGACCGGAGAGTGAAGGCCGTGCAGAGTTTTCAGCTACGTATGCTGCCCTGCAAATGCACTAGACCCTGATGCTGTGGAAAAGTAACATGCTGTTTGTCTTGTGTGTGGTCAGCAAGGGTTGTCCTGTGGTCGGAATCACACACTCCTTTGGGCCAGAGGTCCTGTGCTAGATGGGTGCTTCCCTCCTGACCTGTGCACCCAAAAGGGTCAACAACAGGGACACAGTTACACACTGTGCCTTGTTCCCCTGGGACCTACTGAGTCCGTTGGGCCCATCAGCCTGCCCCCTGCCTCGTGACATCCCTTACGCCTGTAGTCTTCCTCCTTCTCCCTCCCCATCATCACAGATGCCACGTTTTTATTTGGACAGCTGTGTGGGGAGCTGAGGGCTAAGCTCATGCCTGGAAGCCACCCAGGATGAAGAGCAACCAGACAGGCCAAGTGGGCAGGGTGTGTTGGGGCCCGCCAAGGTCTGTGCTTGATGGTTGGCAAACGTAGGTGATGTCAGATAACAGAATGTTTCCCAGCCCTGCAGCAGTTTCCTGCAGTGCAGGGAGGACAGACGCCAACCTCTCCCGTCATGTTCAATGGACAGTTTGAATTACAGAGGATGGGCCTGGAGGGAGAGAGAAATGCATGTGACAAAAGGGGCAGCCTGGCCCTCAGATCTCAGGGCTCAGACCTGCTGGGGGGAAGGCAGGAGCTGCAGCTCAGGGCCACTGTGTGGTGGGCAGAGGAGGGGCCCTGTGCCTGACCTCAGGGGAGGCGGCCTGGCCCCTGTCCCACCAGACACAGAGGTGAGGAGGGGCAGATACAAAGGCCGTTGGCCTCGGCCAGAGTCTGACACTCAACTGAGTGGGGGAACCAAAAGCAGCGAGGAGCTTCTCTCCCCACCCAGACTGGGGTGCTGCTGACAATGTCACCCTCCTTCCTGGGTCCTGCACTTGCTCCGTCCTCTGCTCGTGATGGACAGGCATTATTTTTCAGAGCAGCTTTAGGGTCATAGCTAAATTAGGTGGAAAGTGTATATTTCCCAGACATTCCTGTCCCCCCTCTCTTACAGCCCCCCATCAACCCTGCCCACCACATGGTACATTTGTCCCAATTGAAGAACCTACATGGACATGTCATTGTCACCCAAAGGCCATGACACTGGGGTCACTCTTGGTGTTGCACATTCTGTAGGTTTGGACAAATGCGTAATGACATGTGCCTGTCATTATGGGTTCAATGCCCTAAACTCCTGTGTGTCTGCCTGTTCCTCCCTCCCACTCTGAACTCCATCCCTGGCAACCACTGAACTGCTTACTGTCCCCACAGCTGTGCCTTTTCCAGAATGTCAAAGAGCTGAAACTGTGCAGTATGGGCCTTTCCGTATGGGCTGATTTCACTTAGGACATGCATTTAAGATCCTACCATGTCTTTTCATGGCTGAGGGCTCATTTCCTTCTGGTGCTCAGTAATACCCTGTAGTCTCAGGGCTGGACCACACTGGTCTCTAATTTGAGGCTTTCTCAGGGCAAGCCAGGGGGTGCAGGAATATCCTTCCCGCAATGGGCTGCAGAGCCTGGCCAACCCTCCCATGATCTAAACCAGGGAAAGAGGGGGTCACATCCATTCCCCTTCACCCCTGCTTCTGCCAACCCTGCACCACTCTCCTCCATTTCACACAGAAATAGCCCACCAGCTGTCCTGGAATGGAAGGGTCAGTGCACAACACTGTAGGGCTGTGAGGACCGCCCTCTGCCAGTCTCCCCTCAGGGCTGTAGAGCCCAGCTGTAAAACACTCCCCTCCCACCCACCAACTTGGGGGACCAATCATGAACACAGTGAGAGGGGAAAAGAGCACTGGGTCGGAGCCTAGTGTCTAGTTCCATCTCTGTGAACTGCTAGCTTTGTGGCCTTGGGTAAGGCTTACAGTCCGAGCCTGCATCTGTACAGCCAGGAAAACAGAGTGCATTCTGCTCATCTCAGAGTCCCTGTAAAAGTGACGCTTGCTTTGAAAAGTGTAAGGGCTCAAGTGGATGGAAAGAACTCTGATTTTTGGTTTCTAATTTGAGAAGCGTTTAGCTTCTGGAAACAGAATGAAATGTTTCTGTAGTGCTGTCTAAAGATCTGGGTGTTACCAGCTGCCTATTCAGTGGGGAAAGGTATTATTTAGAGCATGATTATCTTGAGACTAATGATGAGCCCTCTGTCTAGAAATGCCTGTAGTCTTCCTCCTTCTCCCTCCCCATCATCACAGATGCCACGTTTTTATTTGGACAGCTGTGTGGGGAGCTGAGGGCTAAGCTCATGCTAAAGATACATACATATATATATA